GGTACTTCTAGATGTTTCTAGACCCTTCTAGACCTTTCTAGATCTTTCTAGGTCCTTCTGGATCTATCTAAATCCTTCTAGACCATTCCAGGTTTTTTCTTGATTCTTCTAGAACCTTCTGCATCCTGAATCATTATGATTCCGACAGATGAATCCTAGGCTCATCTAGATCTCAGATTATCCAAATTCAAATTTCTAGAATTTCTAATTGGGAGGATCGGATCCGTCGGCTACCATGAATCTACGATTCGTGGATTACTCTAAAATTCATGAAATCCAGATTCTATTTCCTAGTTTCATCTAGGTTCTTCTAGACGCTTCTAGATTCTTCTGGATTCTTCTAGACCCTTTTAGGTCCATCTAGTGCCTTCTAGATCCAGCTAGATTCTTCTGGATCCCTCTAGGACCTTCTAGACCTTTCTAGATCCTTCTCAGACCTTCTAGACCCTTCTAGATCCAGCTAGATCCTTCTAGATCCTTATGGTTCCAATGGGTTCATCCAAAAACTTGCCGTGCTCTTCGACCTCCTCCTCTTTTGTCCACTTTCGAATTCTTTCATATCCTTTATTCATAGTTTGAACTTTTTCTCCTTTTCCGTTTTCCCACCTTTTCTCATTTTTTATGCCACTTTTCCTTCTTTTTTTCCATGTCCTCCCACATTTTTCAAAAAATCAACATTCCTTTTTTTTTTCTCTTCCATTGGCCACTATTTCGTTCCGGTTGTCATTTTTATGATTTTATTGCTCACAGATTTGGCTTCAGGCGACATCTAGGACCTAGATTCTGGAGGAGTACACACTTCTGATGCCCCCCTCTGATTGATTTATAGAGGACCCCTCATAATTTTTTGATGGATATATCCCATATGACCCATCTGACCCATCTGACCAGCCAGAAGTCCCCTCAATTTCTCAGATTCTCAAAAATTGCATAGATCAACTTTTTGTTTAAACATCCTCTCACTGTTTGCTCATATCATAAAAAAGGTTCAGAGATGAACCTAGGAGATCAATAACCATGCTTTTGCTGGGCCAAAAAGTTTTGGCACCCGGCCAACTAACCCCCCCCCCCTTGTTATTGTTTTTGTTTTGACTGCTCATCTCTTCTGGTTCCCCTTTGCTCTTTTTTGTTCCAAAACTGACATTTTCAGTAAATACCTAACACCATGTTCCTAGTACGCGTTCAGCGACGCATCGCACGTCGCGATGTCTACACATTCTCACGTCAAGATTCCGATCGTCAGCCGTTGATCGAGGCGCCGACGCCTACAATCGCCACTGCTCCGTGTTGCAACAAGAAGAGGAGGCGACGTGGCAATGGAGCGAATATGAAGCGGCTGCTGGAAAGGATGAGACTACTGGTATGACTGGCTCGATCCTTCACGATTCTTCTAGTTCCTTCTAGGTCATTCTATATCCTTCTAGATCTTTCTAGATCCTTCTAGATCCGTCTAAACCCTTGTAGGTCCTTCTTGTCCCTTGTAGATCCTTCAAGATCCTACTAGATCATTCTAGACCCTTCTAGGCCGTTCTAGATTTTTCTAGATTCTCCGAGATCTTTCTAGGTTCTTCTAGATCCTTCTAGATCTCTCTAGATCGTTCTATATCCTTCTAGGTCTTTCTAGATCCCTCTAGATCCTCCGAGATCCTTCTAGGCCATTCTAGATCTTTCTAGATTCTTCTAAGTCCTTCTAGATCCTTCTAGATCCTACTAGGACCTTCTAGATTCTTCTAGATCCTTCTCGATAATTCTAGGTCCTTCTAGATTCTTCTAGATCTTTCTAGATCCTTCTGAATCCTTCTAGATACTTATAGACCCTTCTAGACCCTTCTAGACCCTTCTAGAGCATCCACCAGCACCCTTCCTAGAGCTCTCTATGCGGTTTATGACCTATTTGAGACACATCAACTAATATTTATGTTTTTCCCTTATTGAGTCACGTCTTCTAAAATGTAGCCGTGACGACGACAGAGACCAACGGTTGGGTGTCGACCAGATTTTCCATTTTTGGCTCGGCTCCAAAATTTCTCTCATCACATGTTTTTCTATGTGTGTGAAAAGTCAGAAGAGCCTCTCAGCTCATGTTCTTTGGAGGCGCGCTAGAGAGATGACTACGTGGGAATTTTTGAATGCGTTGCTCCTGATAAACGATGATATCATAAGTGATAGTCGACCGATTTGAAAGTGGCGAAGAGAGAGAGAGAGAGAGAAATCTCAGAAAGTTTCCAGCTGTGTGTGTGAAATGGACAAGGCTGGGAAGACAAAGACACACTTTAGCCTTCGTATCTTGTGCCTTGGTGGTGACCCGCAGCCGTCCCATTTGCACTCTCTTACAAGACGACTGATAGAAAGAGAGAGAGAGAGAGAGAGAGAGAGAGGGGAATTTGTATCAGTGACAGCTGAGACCTTTTTTTTTGTTCTGGGCTTGAATGAGATGAGTGTGTGTAAAGCGGCACATGGAGCGGGTTGTCACAAAGTACAGTGAGGGTGGCGGCGCTGGTTTAGTTATCCGATACGTTCCAACAATGACAATAGAGAGAAGAAGGAAGGCAGAGATCAAGGAAACCTCACAATCAGGTGTTCGTAGAAGTTTGGAGATTGATCTCCTATAATGATGGGATACTGTAGAACATCCACGACAGCTTGCCATTCTTCGAATCTGGCTCAAATTTAGTGCATCAAACATTTCAGATGAATGGTTCTTCGAGGTGGGGCTCAATGACTAACTTGAGATTTTGGGGATTATAGCTTATTATAGCACTATAATCGGTAACTTCGTCAATCCTGGATTTGCTCTTGATTTTCAGATTTTCAAATTCTGGGATCTAGAGGATCTAGGGTTCATAGGATCTAGGGTCCTGATCTTGAGATCCTATGGGCTATGAACCCTTCTAGGTTCATAGCCCATAGGACCTCAAGATCAACGTTTCTAGGTAGAATTTAGTGCAACGATCCTGGAATGACTACGGTTCTGCGTTTCCATAAGTCAAGGCTCTCCCAGTTTGTCTAGAAATTCAGTTTTCCGGCTTATCTATAAGCTTCCTCTTGAACCTGTCCTCAGTTCCTATCCACGTACACAAACATGGATTAGAACATTCTGAAAAGCTCTAGTTGACGTACCGATCACTCAAGCCTAAGGAATCTTCTTTGCTCTCTATCGCTACATCTAATTTCAGCTCTCTTACATGTAGTTTGACACATAATGTCATATCTTCGCTATTAGCACATAAAGTGTGACTTGTTCAAAAGATCTTCACCACTAGCCGAAAGATCTCAGAAACTTTCGGAAATTTGGGAACTTGAAGATCTGAAAATCTGAAAATGAGAAGCAGATATGGATCCTGATTCCCGTGGACCCTAGATCCTATGGACCCTAGATTCTATGGATCCTAGATCCTCTGGATCCAAGAATTTGAAAATCAAGAGCAAATCCAGGATTGACGAAGATACCAATCAGGATGGTTGTATAATCCCAAAATCTCAAGTTAGTCATTGAGCCCAACCTCAAGAACCATTCATCTGAAATGTTTGATGCACTAAATTTGAGCCGGATAATGGGCTCTATTTCCCATCCCTGGTTTTTCATTGAATCACACGAATCGGGATCAAAATTAGAAGTAACGAAAGCCTCGCCATATATGGAGGCGATTGCATCATTACGCACTTTTAGCCTAATTCAGCGCCTAACCATCACCATACATCGGTGTGTTTTGAAGCTGTACTTTTTCGGCAGATTTCCAGAGAGAGAGATGGAGAGAGACATGCTAATGCGAATGCACTCTTAACTCTGTTTGCTCTCTGCGTCTTCTTCTTCTGCCAAAATGTTGCTATTCTCGAATTGCAACACATGCAATTCACAACATGACTCATGTTTTGTTTTGTGCCGCCTGCCGCCTGCACCTCTCTCTTCATTTTGGATTGAATGATATCCTCTATTTGGGCGCTGGCACGTCCTGGCACATAGGGAAGAACTGGCTGGAACAACATCATCATCATTTGGCAACATCCGGTCGACGAGCTTCAGCGGGTTTAATTGAGGACAGAATACTCGAAATAGAGACGCAGAGATTGGGAGCCCCGCTGCAGATTGCTCCTGCTCTCGCGCCCTCCGAAGCCCCGCCCCGCCCAAGAGGAGGGTGGAAGAAGAAGAGTGAAAATGAGCCTGAGTCATTTTGTGATTTTTTCCTCGAGAAGACAAAATGGAACCACCACCTATCCCACCTGCCTACTATTCGGATCCACCAGAAGCGCACGAGGATCCGATCCTCAAGTTCTTTTGGTTCGGTCCCGATCAAAGGTCTGAACGAGGGCCAGAACGAACTCGAAGAACTACTATGAGCTGGCAATCGGCGGCATCCACGTCCCGTCAAGATGTCCTGATTATCAGTGAGCCCCGACGATTCTCCTGCGCCATCGTGGAGTCGACGTCGATCACGCCACCCCTACCAAAACGAGTGGTGGAGAAGCGAAGAAGCTCGTCGACATTCGATCGTCTGTGTCGCCACTTAAAGGTACTTACATTCCATTTTCATCATTCCATCCTGAAATTCCACTCACTTAACAAACATTCCTTTCTTGTTGTAACACGGGTGGTTAACCCCCTAGGTGGGGGGGGGGGAGGCTATGTATGTGTAAAGGGGCGGAGCCTTCTTTTGGGACCCTCTTAAATAGGTGTTATAGGACGGCTACGACACCCACTCGTTTATCCCCCCACATATCTCATCTCCACACCTCATCTCATCTTGTCTTTATTATCCTTACGACGCATACTACAGTACTTACTGTGTATTGACATATAGAATGCTTCTCGCCAGACAAACTGGGGTATGTTTATTTTATTTTCTCCCCCCACTTCCTTATATGACTTCAACGAACAAGGAAAAAACCAGAGTCTCTATTTAGTAGTATACTACTGGAAGTCTAGAAGTGTACAGTTGCAAAAGTTCCCGTCGTATTTACACATTGAGAGGGAGGAGAAGGAAGCTAAGGGAGAACACTTGATAGCTTTTGCAAATAATAGAATTATGCATATATGTTGTATATAGATAAACTGAGCGGGATTAGGATTAGAAGGAGTTTCCTGGAATAAAAGTGCAAGAATTTGAAAATATCGTAGACTAAAAAATTGAAGGCAAGATCAAAATGGGCCGGTCCGGAGGTCTATAGGTCCATAACTGGGCCGGTCCATAGTGCCATAGGTCCATGGGTCCATGGGTCCATAGGTTGATAGGACCATAGTTGTGCCGGTCCACAGGTTCATAGGTGGTCCATAAGTCTATACGTCCATAGTTGTTCCAAAGGTCCCTAGGTCCAAATATGGTCAGTCTATAGGTCCATAGTTGATCCAAATGTCCATAGGTCCACAGACTCATAGTCGGTCCATTGGTCTATACGTCCATAAATGGGCCGGTCCATAGATCCATAAATGGGCCCGTCCATATTCGGTCTATAGCTTCTTTGAGGCTTCAATTGAGTCACTCATATTGCTCATTTTTCGACCTACTAAAATGGATATGGTAGAACTCGGCGAGCTCTGCAAAATGTTAGAAAAGCTGTATCTGGTCTATAAGCAAAATTAGAAGGTCATGAAGCTGTGACGGTTTTTGTCTTGTAACTTTGCTCATAGACATGATACAGCTCTTTGATTAGTACCGTCTTGTAGTTTTCGTTGAGCTCTACCGTATCCAGTTTGATAGGTCGAAAATATTGATTCTGAGTGAAGCTATGGGCATGTTCTTTTAAGACGCATTTGGTCCTGCACTTTAAGCTCAATTATCTCGGTTCTTTTGAGAGATATCAAAAATCTGTCAACTGATAAATTACTAATCATAATTTGAGCAATATTTTATCAGTAGACAAAATTTTGATATCTCATGGGAACCGAGATAATTGAGCTCAAAGAGCAAGTACGGCGTTCGCTGGCTTATCTTGTATCTCAAATTTCACCAACGCAGCGGGGGAAGTTTTCCCACTCACTAGCTGTTCCTAATCCAGCACAGACGGTGGCGTACCAATTAAAACCAACATGTATAATTGCTCACCGTCTGTCATGTTACTGTCAATCAAAAAGTCACGAAAATCCTCCCCCCTCAGCATCTGACAGGGGCACCGCCTGATCCCCCTCCCAACCCCTGTTCACACCTGACCAAAAGAAATGGGGTTATGTAATAGGGGAATTATTATTGTTGTTCCATTATACAGTATGCCAGGTGGTATTAGGGAATTATGCAATCATTGAATTGTGCGTTATTGTATAGGTTGCTTTTTGAATAGGATACGCAACATCGTCCCTGATACTGTAGGCAACGATACCATGGGCTACGGTTGGTGGCGCTTCCGTTCTATCCTCCACAGCTGCTGGTCATATGTTTAGGTTATAGAGATCATATCATCTGACTGAACTGTTCAGAAGCAGCAGCAGCGATGATTTTTTTTTTCGCGGGTGATAAATCATTGAGAGACTGTATCAAAATTCTGGTTTTCCCCCCTTCGTTCGTCGTTCTGAAGTAGAAGACGTAGAAGAAGAGGAAGAAGACGTCGTTGGTGGTGGTGATGGCTTCCGGTTGCTATTTCAACCCGATTAGTTGCTAAAAATAGATTCTGAACTATTGTTTTTGAACTTGACTTTGACTTTTTAGATTCTTATCACTATCAGCAGGACCTTCTGACAGCCAGTTAACCGGTCAGGATTTTGGGAATTTTTGAAAAAAAAAGATGAGGAGCAGTTGTTTCGCGGAACTTTGTGTTTTGATGAGTAGAGTCTAGAGAGGGAAGACTGATTTGCAACAATCCTTGCACCAGGGGATCATCCTAGGGACCCCTTATCTTAAGCTCAGGGGTTAGATCTTTTGGATCCTAGATCCTATAGATCCAAGATCCTATGGATCCTAGATCCTATGGATCGTAGATTCCATGGGTATCTAGATCCTATAGATCCTAGATCATATGGATCCTAGATCCTAAAAATACTAGATCCTATGAGTCCGAGGTCTCATGGATCCTAGATCCTATGGATACTAGATTCTTTGGATCCTAGATCCTATGGATCCTAGATCCTATGGCTCCTATGGATCCTAGAATCCATGAGCTCTAGATCCTATAGATCCTAGATCCTACGGATCCTTGGTCCTATAGATCCTAGATCGTATAGATTCTAGACTGTAGATCTTCTGGATCCTAAATACTAGGTACCCCACGACATCCGATTCTTGATCTTCCAAAGAGTACCACCACCACTATTTTGTTGTTGTCATCAGCAGTTCGTCATGTTCCTTCCTTCCGTCGACTTATTGCAACAATGTGTCACCTGATGGCTGCTGCGGCGGCTGCTGCTGCTGAAAATTACGCTCTCTCTTTTTTATCTTCTTTTTTCTATCCCTTCTCTCATCGTAAAGCCCCCCATTCACTTCCGGTGGAACAATTGCCGACTGGAGGTCCCAGGCACCATCGCCACGAGGAAGAAGGAATGACTACTATCACTACTGTAATCATCATAACAGACTGAAATGAGATTAATCATAAATATCCGGAAGTTGTCTTTTAAATGGTGAGCAACAGACTACACACAAACAGCCACATAGACAAGCAAATCATTTCTCAAAGATCAGGTTGTTTTTGTGTTCTACCTCGTTGTGGAGAGCAAAAAAGCGAGAAGCTGCAAAACATTTTGGGATTTCTAGGCCACCATGGGGACCTAGAAACCCGAACATTTGGATTTCCAGGTCACCAATTTAAAAGGACTATAAATCGGTTCAAAGTGAAGCTATCGGAATTCGGAGACCTGTTTTAGAAAGCTCTGATCTAGCTGATCTAGATGATCCATTGGTGGCCTAGAAACTCAAAATTTTGGGTTTCTAGGCCTCCAACTGATAAGGCTAGATCGGAGCTTTCTAAAGCAGGTTTCAGAATTGCTATAGCTTCTCTGTATGCTGATTTATGATTTTTTTTAAAAAGGGTGAGAAATTCACAGGTTTGGATTTATAGGCCACAAACTGGTGACCTAGAAAACTGGAAATTCGGATTTCTAGGCCACCTACTGATAAGGCTAGATCGGAGCCTTCTGAAACAGGTCTCAGAATTCCGATAGCGCAATTTTGAACCGATTTATAGCACTTCTAAACTGATGACCTAGAAACCCGAAAACTCAATTTTGAACCGATTTATGGTCCTTCTGCAGGACAGAAAATTAGCAATGGGGCGCGGTTGCAACCTCTAAAAGTTGTTCTAGAGTCTAGAACAGTTCCATCCTTCCGTTAACTTTCGATTCGATCTATCAATCATATCCGCTATCATATGACTTGTTACGCGGCGTTTCCACCACCACCGCCGTGTAAAACGAATACAGTCCCCCCTACCCCTCGATTCGCTAATGCGGTCTGGAATGAGAAGAAGAAGAAGCAAACACACACGAGAAGATACGACGCATCGCATTCGCTTGATAATGACGATGATAACAAAGCACTTCCGGTGTGACATTGACTTTGACTTCCAGCAGTTTGACCCCTATTAGATTCTTTGATTCGTCATTGGTTTTTCTTTTTCAGACTGCAAAAACTACTATAAGACATCACGTCACTTATTTTTCTTGGCTAGAAGCCAAAATTTCTTGGGATGAGAGGGGATTAGGAGTTGTTTGCAGACTTTAATAAATATTAAGATTTGCAACAAAAAAAAACGAATTCTAGGGGATTTGGAAAGCTCTGCACCAGCTCTATCAGTTGGTGGCCTAGAAATCCAAATTTCGGGTTTCTAGGTCACCAATTTGAAAGGACTATAAATCGGTTCACAGTGAAGCTATAGGAGTTGCGAATCCTGTTTTAGAAAGTTCTGATCTAGCGCTATCAGTTGGTAGCCTAGAAATACAAAATTTTGGATTCCTAGGCCACCAGATGATAGAGCTAGATTAGAGCTTTCTATAGCAGGTCTTAGAATTCCTATAGCTGCAATTTAAACTGATTTAGAGTCCTTTCAAATTAGTGACCCAGAAACCCAAAATTTTTGATTTCTAGGCCAAAACCTGGTAGCCTGAAAGCTCCAAATTTTAAATTTCTAGGCCACAGATAAATAGAGCTAGATGAGAGCTTTCTAAAACAGGATTCGCAACTCCTCTAGCTTTACTTTGAACCGATTTATAGTCCTTTTAGATTGGTTACCTAGAAACTCAAAATTTTGGATTTCTAGGCCACCAACTGATAGAGCTAGATCAGAGCTTTCGAAAGCAAAGTTCAGAAAGCCTATAGCTACACTTTGAACCGATTTATAGTGCTTCTGAGCTAGTGACCTAGAAACCCAAAATTTAGGATTTCTAGACCAGAACCTGAAGGCCTGAAAGCTCCAAAATCCTGACTTCTAGGTCGCCAGCTGATAGAGCTAGATTAGAGCTTTCTAAAGCTGGTTTCAGAATTCCTATAGTACCATTTTGAACCGATTTATAGTATTTCTTCGCTGGTGGCCTAGTAACCCAAAATTTTGGATTTCTAGGCCACCAATAGATAGATCCTCCAGGTACAGTACCACGCTCCTCTTGGATCCGGCGTATCTGATCCCTATTAATGATCATAAGAAATCATTCACAGATCACACACGCGCTTCCTTCCCTTCCTAACACCCATTCATCTATTCAGCAGATCATAAATTCCTCATCAAAAACAAATATTCTGACACGTTTCTCTCCTTCTTTTCCTTCTTTTTCTTCTTCTCTTGCGCCGCCGCCGCCGAGGAGAAGAAGAAAAAGAAGAAGAAGACGTTAACTTCCGCCACGTCTCCGTTCGCGCTTCTCCTCCATCATTCCTTCCTTCCTCCTCTCCACTAACAACCATCCTAATTTAGTTTCACAACTATGCTATCCTACCGTCTGTGCTGCTGTTGCACGGCTCCACAAACGTCTCCAACGGAGAAGACGTGGTCGTTTAAGAAAGTACGCTATAGCCTAAGGGCGGCCTTTAGGCTTCTAGGCCTCTAGGCTTACAGGGTCCGCCAAAATTACGTGTGCAAGTGTAGATGACGTTATCTCCAGAAGTAGATGCGAGATTAAGACGAAATTTAACAGATAGTTTATTTCAACGCTTGAAATCATAATTCAACAAAAATTATTCGATTCTACCTCCTTTGGCAGCGACCACGGCACGAAGTCGTCGAGCGAAGGCATCAATGGTGGCACGCAGGTATTCGACGGATAATTTGTCCCATTCCTCAGACAACGACTTCTTCAGGGCCTCGATATTTGCATGAGGTCTTGCGCAGACCTTATTCTGCAGAACTCCCCATACGGAGTAGTCGAGCGGGTTCAGATCAGGCGACGAAGCCGGCCATTCGTCCTTTGGTATGAAGGCGGGGAAGTGGTCCTTGCACCACTGTTGAGCCATTTTTGCGGTATGAGCAGGCGCTCCATCTTGCTGGAAGATGTATTTCTTCTGACCGAAGTGGTTTTGAGCCCACGGTAGCACATGCTTCTCCAGAATCTTCTCAACGTAGTATTTTTGGTTGATTTTCACGCCTTTATCAACGAAAACAAGCGGACACTTCCCATCATAGCAAACCGCTCCGAAAACCATGATGCTCGCAGGATGAGAGGCTCGATGGATTGTTTTACCACGCTCAGCTGCTTGTTGAATATTTGTGGCCAGCACTCGGTGGTTTTGGCTATTAAATTCAGCCTCGACACTGAAGAGTTTCTCGTCCGAGAAGATGGTGATAAGATGATCCTTTTTGCGCGTGCCAGCGAGAAGGCGCTTCGCTTTGATGAGCCGTTTCTCCTTATTGGCTTGGGATAGAATAGCAGCTTTTGTTGCTCGATAAGAGGTCATCTTCAGCTCTTTTCTGACAATTCTCCTCATTGATGTATAGGAGATATCCATGTCATCTGACATCTTTTTCATGGAACGATGAGCATTTCGCCTGACTTTCTCCCGGACGGCCTTGACTTTCGCTGGAGTTCTTACAGTCCTCGGTCTTCCTCTTCCCGTACGGTCCTTGAGGTGGCCAAGCTGGTTGAAACGACGGATGGTCGCGAAAACCGTGTTTCGGTGCACTCCGAGTCGTTTAGAAATGTCTCCTGTGCTTAAACCTCGCTTGTAAAAGTCGACGATCAGAGTACGATGAGGACTTGCCGCTGTCATTTACCTAAAACATAACCGATTGGGATGAAACTTGGCAAACTAATAAATAATGAAATAATTAATAAAAATTTTAAAAAATTGCGCACCAAAAGTGCGTCAGTGCGCAGCGCCATGGCGTCAAAGTTGTGCACACGTAATTTTGGCGGACCCTGTAAAGGACGTTCTATAGGCCATTTAGGACTTCAAGGATTTCTCATACAAGTTCTGGCATTTTCAGCAATTCTTCGAGTCGATCAACCCTCGAACGGACTTCAAGACCAATGAGGACCTCGAGGATTACCTCTACCAGAAGTCGTGCGAAATTCAGCCGAAAGGAGCCGAGGTGCCGAACACTGACTTGGTAGGAAATCAAAAAACTGAAACTCCTGAAAATCTAAAATTCCAGAAACCCAAGCACACGTCTTCGACGCTCCGCTCCCCTGGAATCAAGCCACCAAAGGCCGCGAATCACTACTTGGCCAACCACCCGATTGGATTGGGACATCTCTCGCACTCCCAGCACTCTCACTCGGCGCCGCACGCCATGTCTTCTGGAGCGACGTCTTCTGGGCATCAGTCGAGTACGGTACCCAGCACGCCGGTCACGATACATGAGACGAAGCGGAGCATGTCGCAGACGCAAGCGTCCGATCATCAAAAAATTCGTAAGTTAAAAAATTTGGATTTTTCGACCGTCGATCGACCGTGCCGACCGAATTTTATGTATTTGCGCGTCAACTACGATGTGGCCTAAAATTTGGCCGACGGTCGGTCGGTCGGCCTGAAATTTGTTCGAAGGTCGGCCGGCCTTAGATTTTTTGGTCGACGGTCAGTTGGCCTTATACTTTTTGATGGGCGGTCGGTCGGCCTTAGATTTTTTGATCGACGGTCGGCTGGCCTTAGATTTTCGGTCGACGGTCGGTCGGCCTGAAATTTGATCGAAGGTCGGTCGACCTTAGATTTTTTGGTCGACGGTTGGTCGGCTTTAGATTTTTTGGTCGACGGTCGATCGGCCCGAATTTGGTCGAAGGTCGATCGGCCTTAGATTTTTCGGTCGACGGTCGGCTGTCGGTCGGCCGGTCGGGCTCTGATTTTTGGGTCAACGGTCGGTCGAACTTGGATTTTTAGCCGATGGTCGGTCGGACTTAGATTTTCTGGTCGACGAACGGTCGGCCTCAAATTGGTCGAAAGTCGGTCGGCCTTAAATTTTTTGGTCGGCGGTCGGTCTGCCTTAAATTTTTTGGTTGACCGTCGGTTGCCTGAATTTGCTCGGCGTTCGGCCTTAAATTGTTGGTCGACAGCCGGTCGGGCTCAGATTTTTGGTCGGCGGTCGGCCGGTCGGCCACTCGTAGTTAAAAGTTCAAATTGGCATCATTTTTTTGTTTATGAAACAACTTTTTTCTAAAAATAGGAATTCGCTGGCCTAAATTAGTTACCATCCAGATGAGATTTGCACTTTTTGAAAACGTATTTTTCATTAATTTCGAAAAAAAATACATTTTTTCGAAAACAAAAAAAAGCGAAAATAACAAGAGAGAAATCATCGTTTCTCTCTCTCTCTCTCTCTTTCTCTTTCGGAACACACACACACGCAATCAGTTGTCGAGACAGACAACGTCTTCTTCTTCTTCTTCTCATTCCTTCCTTGTTCTTCTCATTTTTTGAATAGTATCCCCCAGTCAAAATAGAGAAAAATGTTCACCGAAAAAATCAACTTTCTATTCCGCAAACGTAACGGAAGCAGCGGCAGCTCGCGACCAGCGTCACCGTCACCTTCAGAAGGTAGTAAGCTCCGCCCTCTCGAGAGCCCGCCCCCCCCCCACTCGCCCTTTGGGGGGTTGGACGGACCCTATGACCCCCTAGCATCATAAAACAAGAATCAGTCATATTCCCTCCTTAATAAAATGACCTGCTGTTCAGCTGTCCTCCAACCACCACCACTGCTACCCCGCTCTCGCTATCAGCCACCACCACCACTCAACCCTCTGGACGTTCCACCAACGACTCAAGCTCCAATGCCACCTGCGCCAAAGTCTGGATCGATTATGAGTCAGGCATCGTCGCCGACAAGCAGCTCGACGACGCCAAGCTCGGCGCCAGGACCAGCACCGAAGCTTCATCCAAGACGTGGTGTTCCCCAGCCAATGTCTCCATTGGCAAAGTCTCCATTGACACCGTCGAGAGGTATGTTCTTCTAAGAGTACCTCTCTACTAAACTAGTTCTTATCATATCATTGTAATCTTCAGACAACGCATCTCCGTCGGCCTTCCAGTTCCCGGTTGTCTACGATTCGGCACCCCCACCACTTCCGCCGCGACCATCCGCCGCCTCCTCAGATGGCACATCGCCAAGCACGTCGTCAGTCGCTTCCAAAGAGAATCAGGAGCAGTTGAGAGTGATCTTCGATCGGTAAGCCACCATAATATGGCGAGTATCCGAAATTACCAAAAATGAAAAGTTTTCAGCGAAGAGTCCCATTCGCCAACCGTCCGTCTATCGGTACCACTGCCGCCGGCACTTCCTCCACCGAGAGGATCCGCCGTGTTCCGCGCGCCACCACCGTTGCCGCCAAAATCGGGGTGAGTAGTTTAAGATTGGAAATTTTCAGATCAATAATCATTGTTTGATCAATTTGACCATCAATTCGGTTGACGGCCGGTTGGCGGTCGCCAATTATTTTTTCGACCGACCGAGAAATTTCGACAGATCTCGGACTGAGGGTGTCATTTCGGTTGGTCGAAAATTGGCGACCGCTGACCGACCGAGCTGCCCGAATTCTTGAATTTGCGTGCCCCATGAAGTGTTTGCATACGCAGCATTTGATTTCACAAAAATTTCGGCCAGTCCGGTCGGCGGCGGTCGCCAATTTTCGACTGACCGGAATGTCCCAAAAGCCGTCCCAAATCTAATCGACTTGACTTCCAAATTGAAAGCAAAACTAATCTCGATCATAGGTCGGTCGACGATCTGCCGGCCGGTCGGTCGGCCTGATTTTGGACCGACCAAAATGGCTTCCTTAGTGCGGTCAGATTTGGGGGTCATTTCGGTCGGTCGAAAAATCGGCGACCGCCGGCCGACCGGACTGGCCGAATTTTTTTAAAAATCAAATGCTGTGTACGCAAACATTCCATGGGGCACGCAA